GAATTAACCATGAGGTCGAAGTCTGTTCGCATGCTGCTGTCGGAGTAATGCGTGTTGTAGTCGAAGTTTGTTCTAACATGCATTAGTCAATATTGCTAGGGTTGTTAGCATGTTGAATTGGGTCTTGCTTGTAAGCCCAATTTTATAAGTTAGCTTGTATCCTAAGTTAGCTTGTAATGGGTAATTGTTAAAAATCCCATTAGGTTAGTGTGCTATTTTTTTTATAAATAGGATACTAGTTTCTCAATCTTGGTATAAGGAAAAATAGGAAGATAAATTCCTAATTTCAAGTGAGTGAGGTTATTTTGTTATTCTTGTATACTTGTAATCTTGTTCTAACAATAAGTAAAGAATAACGGTTTATAACCAATCTTTGTTGTTCCTTGTTACCTTATCTTGTTTTCTTTGTTAACCTTAACCCTTGTGTGTTTCTTGATCATAAAGAAACCTTTTATATTTTGTTTAAAGACATCTGATTCACAATACTTATATACAATAAAACATCACAATATCACGTATCCTTATAACAACAAAAACATCACAACATCATATATCCTTATAACAACAAAAACATCACAACGCGAGAACCTGACCGCGACAACATCACATAACCTTATAACAACAAAAACATTACAAAATCTTAATAAAACCAAAGGAAAACCTCACAACAAAGTGCGTGCATGTGTGTGCGTATGTGTGTGTGTGTGTGTGTGAGAGAGAGAGAGAGACAGAGAGAGAGAGAGAGAGAGAGAGAGAGAGACAGAGAGACAGAGAGACAGAGAGATATACCAATAAATAAATAATGAACATAAAAAGGTAACACACCGTACTTCGAATAGGAGAAAGAGGACAAAAAATAATTTCCGTTCTAAGAAATGAATGAAGATGGTGAAGATTGGACGTTCCAAGCATAGAATGAAAATGGTGAATATTTTTCTATTGTTGTCATCTGGTTTGCTATGACATGTTTTATGAAGGAAAAAAAGAACCTATTATGTTTTAATTTTGTAGGAAAGAATTTCACGATGGTTGCAAATACCAATTGTGGTGATATATGACACATATAACCATGGTTGATAAAAATAATCGTAGTTAAATAAATTCAATTTTTATTTAAAAATATAAGTTAAGGGAAACACACTTTTTATAGAAAAATGAAAAAATGTTGATGATGAGATTCGAAGCTTGTAACCCTTAATCTATGACCACAATTATTATTATGAGTCGTGATAAAAAGTCTTTTAATAAAATAAAAAATATCATGCGTGTAAAAATGAGATATTATTATGGTTAATAAAATGGTCATAGTAATATGGTGTTACCAAAGCTATATTTTGTAGTAGTGCTAGATCGTTCATATTTTCAAGTGACAAAACGTGAATGGATTTTCTCTAGAGCATTAGTCCTCTCTTCTAGATCTAAGAATCTTCTACTAGATGAAATATGTTTATCTCTTGACATTACCATTATGATATCACTTTTGGACATATATTTCTCTTGGGCCCTTGTGAATTTGATGATCATGTTTTTCCATAGAATCATTAATCAGGATCGAGATCAAACAAAGTCATTTTCATTGGGTTATCCACCAGAACTTAATTGGGTAGGGACTGTTTCCCTCAAGCATGCTTTGGAATAGGCAAAGTAAGGCTTGCAACCATTCATAGCTCAAGATTCTTCAACCTACTTTGGTTCCATTAAAAACTTTAATAGATCACGCTTATTCTTCATCTTCTGAATTTCTATCGTTTCCGATGTAAGATTCTTTTTTTTTTTTTTTTTTAGAGTAGTTGTTTCTCAATCATTTCCTTAGTGTGTAAGGGTGATGCTTCTCATTCTCTAGATGTTAGGTCTAATTATTTTATCGTGGGAAACTATAGTCACTTATAAATCTTATGGATATGTGTCTGGTGACTCTTTATTTTGCTTGTCTTTACCGCTATGTATATATAGAGTGTCACTTTAATTATTTATTTATTTTTCACCTTTTCATTGTATTCCTTTTTCTTCAAAAGTTTCTTCTATTGAAGCTCATCAACACATTTTCATGATGAAGTCATTTCTTTGGTTAGTATCATTTATTACCTTAACATGATTCATGTTTTGACCATTTATATGCTTTAATTCTTAGGGGAAAAGATGTTTTTTTATGCTTGGATGGTTTTTGATCAAGATTGTAAGGGTATATTTATGAAGGGCCCACAAAGGGAGATGTGGAAGCAATGTGTATGATAACTCTCCCACAACATATCCTTGGTCACCCATTTTCTAGATACAACATCCATTTATCAGATTAGTCGCCCTCTCCGTTAGCAAATTGTCCACAACGTGCAATTATGGGAGGTGACGTGACCCTAGTCCACAATAGCATGGAATAAGTCTTAAGGAAGCTAATTACGATCTACTGAGTAATAGGGGATTAAACAATCATCTCACACATTATTTTGAAGGTGGTTGGTATTCACAAAGGCCTTAAGATCTAGGCCTATTACCTCTTATTACTACAAAAAGTATATAATATGACACTCATTTTACCATTGTTCTTTGAAGAACTATGGTGACATCTCTAAAATTAGGCGTCGTCATTTTCTATTTACTTTTTAATTAGAAATAGCTTACATATTACCGCAGTTGGATAATGCAACTGTGGTGAAAGTTCCTAAAGTTTATGGGTTCAAATCTCAGCGCCAACAAATTTGTGATTTTATTAGTATTATAGTGGTGTCTTTCTTTTTGATTTATTTTAAAATAAAATATAAACGTGATTTCACTATGGTTGATTACCCCAACCGTGGTGATATCATTTACCTTTTTTTCATAGTGTCAACAATCTTTTTCATTTATTTTTAATATGAAAATATTCCACATTTCACTATAGATGTTTATATGTTGTTGATGAATGTGTATTAGACACATTAGTGTTGTTGTTTGTTGATACATAATATATTTTGACTCTATTCACATGTATTATAGTGTTAATTTTACATGATTTTATTGTGTTATGCAGGTATATTGTGTTTGTTTCAGGTGTTTACCAAGTAGGAGCATTCCTGCGAGAAAGCAGGACGAAAATGGCGAAAAATAGAGAAAAATCGAGATTTTGCACTCACGACGTCCACCATGGCATTCGCCATGACGCTTGTCGTGATGTGGCATCCATGGGCACCGCCAAAAGACAAGAAAAAGCAAAATGCATAGATTTTACACTCATGGCGTTCACCATGAGGCCATGACATTCGTCATAGATCTGAAAACTCACGTTCTCGACTTTTGTACTTATAGTGTTTGCCATGTACCTCAGAAACCTAAAAATTCGTCCCCTAACAACACTACTTTGAAGCTTCCTCCACTTTCTCTATTACTCATACATAGTATTTAAATAAAAAATAAATTAAATTTGATATTAAATTAATAAAATAGTATGTCCAAAAAAATACTTTAATTATTATTAAAACTTTCAAAAACATGATTGAATATTAATTTTATTTTTTATATATAAAGTTTATTAATATGTAGTATCAATCAATTTTTGTAAGAGTTATTTAAATTTATTTAATTATTTTAAAAATGTTATTTTATTTTATTCATTTATTAAGTTTTAAAATATCAAAAATTTAATTTTACAAAAATATAAACAATTTTTTACAATGGTAATTTTGTAATTCAAATATAATATAAATTTATTCATGTCTCTATTAAGTTTATACCACAAATAATAATATTATATTTATATCATGTATGCATCAAATATATAATATGATACTTTACCATATCAGCTTCAAATCATATCCAGGTCCTAGTAATATCATGTCACAATCCTTAATTTTCACAAATTTTTAACACTGTCAAACGTATCGGTGTCTAAATCTTTGATGGGATCATTCTCTTTAAATTAGAAATGTCACAAAAAAGTATCATTAGTCCTACTTAAAGGAACCAAACATGTAATTGCCATCACAATCTCAGGTAAATAGACCATTCTGAATAGTTCAAAGTTCAAACATGTAATTGCCATCACAATCTCAGGTAAATAGACCACTCTGAATTGTTCAAAGTTCAAACATGACACCCAATACATAATGATGTCCCATGATAGGGTCATAGACAGTACTAGTTAACATTTTACTTCAGCAGACCAAACAAGTTACACAACAGAATAGAAGAACTAAGTTTCGAGCCACAAAGGACCAGTTTGCATTTGACCATATTTCATGAGCCATAGCTGAAACAGCACCGATAAAGTTACATTCCTGATTCACATTCACATATTGAACAATTCTCAGTAAATATAATGAAACAGCAAGAAAATAGTATGGTGCGAGTGAGCATTTAAACAGTGATCAAGCAATACCTTACCATAATTTTTGGCATGGCATGGTCAACATTCTCCATGCAATTGGAAGAAAAGCAAGGTGAGGACTAAAGAAACAAGCATTACTCAGAACCAGCTCGTAGAACGACATATATTAATCCTAGAAAACAGTAGAAAATGCAACAAAAGACTACAAATCCCTTCTAACTTTTCATTGAAAAAATCAGAAAAGATAGTGAAGAGGCCTAAATCCTATGTCAAGAGTAAAGGAAAGTTAACCATTATACGAGAAGAAGCTTCTGCTAAGTCGTAACTACATAGATATCACAAATTCAAGATTCAATTTGTATGTAACAACATTCTTCACGACCAATAATCGCAGCCAACCAACGCCTATTTGACGCCACTCCTACCTTTTACTGTCATTTTCATGGAAGCTTCCATCAAGTTTCAAAACCATACCAAAGCCTGCTACGACAGATTCCTCTGGCGCACGAACGCACACGCGCGCACACACACCAAGTAACCCTCTCCACTGCCAAGCCTAGTCCATTTCCAAAATCACTAACCTTCAGCTACACAAACTCAAACCAACTTTTTTTATCGAACCTCTATATACATCTATAGCATTAACTAACCTAGTTTCGTAGCACACACTTATTTACAGGATTACAACCCTCCTTGTATTTCACTCATCACTAATGTTAAGATTGAGTATCTGACACAACGTCTTAGTAGCAGAATCAGCATTAACAAAAAGGTCCCTAGTAAAATCCAAACGCTCCCTAGTCGGAGAAGACGGCACAGACTTGGCCATTATACACAATTTAATCTCCGGAGACGAACCAGGAAGATCAAGAGACACAGTCCTTTTAGGCCTCATAGGAAACTTAGGAATCGGCAACGAACTAGGTGGTGGTGAATTTGAGTAAGTAGGCCCAGCCCATAACTCAGATAACAAAATGCTTCCATCACTTTCATCAAAAATCCTTTCATTTCTAAAACAATTTCCGTTAATGGGAATTGGAGTACTCTTAGGAGTAGTTTTCAAATTAGGGCTTTCATCAAAAGATTTCAAAGGTGTAGTTGGTAATAAAGATAAACCAGACTCAAAAGTCCTGCAATTAATCCCTACAAAGTCTTTGGAAGATGAATACTCAAATCTACCATGGCTTTGTGGCTTAGACCTGCTACAATATTGATTCTTATGCTGCTCAACAACAAGTGTCTCCATAATCACAAGAACTAAGTCAAAAAGCTAGATTTCAAATCTCAGTGCCAAAGTAAGAAAGTACAAAACTTCACCTCAACAAAATAGATCTCAAACCCAGAATTTCAAGTTTCAACCACATACATTTTCTTAGACACTGAAAAAATTAACAAAAAAAAAATACAGTTAAAAAAACATAATAAATTACAACAAAAGAAAACAAGAGTTAAGAAACAAAAATTAAACAAACTCCTAGAAATTCATATTATCATATTAACATTTTCCTATTAAAAATAGCAAAAAATAATTACCAGTTTGTTGCAACTTGCAAGAGAAAGATTTTCCAGAAAGAACACAAAAAGTGTGTGATAAATCTGCTGTTTTACCTTCTAGCTATAATTTTGATTATTTATTTATTATTAAAATGGAAGAAATGAAAGTTGCATGGAGAATGAAATGAATGTGAAGAGTCAAGTAATAATAAGAGAGCATAGATAAATTATTATTATGGAAAAAGTTGAGGTTTACCTGATGGTGTCGGTTACCTTCCACACAATTCTAAAGTTGTTCTTTGCTTTGGTTGTGGTGGAACTTTTAAAGTTTATCAAAGGTGGTTCACTCTAACTGAGACTAATTGTGCTTTATTGTGACCACCGAAAGGTATTGCCAAATGGCCTAATACCTTAGGTTTCTCATTTCAATTGTAAAAAAATTAGTTATGGGTCAATAAAGTCTTCAAATTCATTAATTTTTTATTTAGGATATACAACAATTGCATTTTAGACTACAAATCTAAAATTTTGACAATTAAATAAACAAATATTAGAAACAAAATCAAATTTAATTTTCTTTTGGAGTACATAAAAACATATTCGGTAAAAGTTCAATACAAATTAGCATAACACTTGTCAACTATATATAAATAATTTTACAAATCTCACCGAATATAACTTAATGTGAAATACTAACCGAATGTTTTAAAATCAATTTTTAAAAATTTAAAAGATAAATTAAATATTTCTTAAATAATTAAAAAAATAATTTGTTTTTTAAAAATATATGTATTTAGTATTTTAAAAATAAAAATAATTAATTTTTTATAAGAATATTGTATATATTCAATATACTGAACATACAATATTTAATATTTTATTTAGAATTTTTATTTAGTCTAACTGATACGGTTACATGATCATAATTTTATTGTATAAAAATTTGTAACATGTATTAAATCTACTTTAATTGATATTTTAAATATTGTTTGTTGACTAAAAGTTGCAGCATTGAGGTTTTACTAATTACATAACCTAGCAAATAATAAAAATCATTATTAGTATGTAAAAAAAAATAGGCATTGACCTTTGATCAAATTTGTCATAAAAATAAATCATTTTAAATGTAATCCTTGCACCAAATTCATAATAAATATTATTATTATTATTATTATTATTATTATTATTATTATTATTATTATTATTATTATTATTATATTATTATTATTATTATTATTATTATTATTATTATTATATTCATACAGAGAAAACAAAAAGTTTTATTCAATATTATAATTTTGAAGTACAATAGAAACTCTTTAAATTAATAATATTAAAATTGGAGAAATTTATTAATTTAGAGAGTTATTAATTTATCAATAAATTAATAATTATTAATTTAAAGAGTTTTTAAGTAATTATATTGTATATACCAAACAAAAAGGAAAATCATCTATGCCTCTTAGAATTACGTTGCAGCGAACCTTGGGACTCAACGTAAATTAGTAACTATTGTGTTCATATGCATTGGAAATCAATAATGACTTTTAAAGTACAATAAATGTAAACAAGAGGAACAAATGTGTTCAATGTATTCTTAAGCAAGTTTGTCATATATAAATTACATGAATGTGTTAGAGTATTCAAACCATATCTCACAAAATGGCTTCTCATCTAAAAGGTGTTGCAAAATCAACTATGTCAGATCAAATACGTAAGGAGTTGTGTGAGTACAAGAGAGATAATCTTGCAAGCACACAAAAAGACTTGCAGATGGCTTGAGGGAAAATTTCAGTTGGAAGTTAGTCAAGGAACAATATCAAACACACTTAAACGGTCATATGACTATCTCTCTGCTGAAATAGAAAACGAAAGAGCAGAGATCAAAAGACACAAACTAGCACAATATCCTGACATGGAGAAGGTTGTTTATGAGTGGTTTCTCCAGCATCAAGAACGTGTGAATATCACAGGAGAATTAATTTTGCAGAAGACAAGAGATACAATGAAACTCGTGTACCCTCATGATGATTCAGATTTTAACTTCTCTATAGGATGGCTTGGGAAATTCAAGAGCCGACATGGCATAAAGTCATTTCATCGTTTTGGCGAGAGTGGGTCTGTTGATGTACAAGACATGGAGCAGAATTTGGTATCAATTCGGGAGAAAATTGATCAGTTCCCTATGAAAGATGTTTTCAATATGGATGAAACTGGGTTGTTTTATAGGCTACAAGTTGATCATTCACTGGCAACAAAACAACTTGAAGGAAGAAAACAAGATAAAGAAAGGTTGACGGTAGTTATTTGTTGCAATGAAGATGGCTCTGAAAAAATCCCTTTATGGATTATTGGGAAATATGCAAAGCCTCGTTGCTTCAAGAATGTCAACATGAATAGCTTGGATTGTCAGTATCGAGCTAACAAAAAAGCATGGATGACTAGTGTGCTTTTTGATGAATATGTTCGTTCATTTGACCAAATGATGCATGGTAGAAGAGTTCTACTTGTGGTGGATAATTGTCCAGCACATCCAAGAAATATTGAAGGGCTAAGAAACATTGAGTTGTTCTTTTTGCCACCCAACATGACATCAAAGATTCAACCTTACGATGCTGGGATGATAAGAGCTTGAAAGATGCATTACCGTAGAAGGTTTTACCGCAAAATATTAGAAGGTTATGAGGTGGGACAATCTGATCCAAGGAAGATAATGTCCTTGATGCTATCAATTTAGCAATCCCAGCTTGGACGATATATGTTCGAAAAGAAACAATAGTGAATTGCTTCCGACACTGTAAAATTCGTTCAGCTAGTGACGTTGTAAGAAATTTGAATGAATCCACTTTTGATGAAGAAACTCAAGACCTCGAGACTATGATCAATTAATGTGGCTATCGTAATAAGATGGATATCGACAATCTAATGAACTACCCAGGTGAAAATGAAGCATGTTCGGAGGTTCAGGGTTTAGAAGATATTGTGGGCACTATCATTGAGAAGAATGCCGAAGATGACGACGAAGATGATACGGTGTCTTTGGAGCCTGTTACGCGAAAGGAAGCACTTATGGTGTCGAACACTCTTCACAACTTTATGATACAATACAAAAATACAACACCTGAGCTATTGAATGCAATAAGAAAAGCTAGAGATGAGCTCCAAATAGACTTGAACTTTAAAGGAAAGCAGATAACTATTGAATCATATTTCAATAGAGTGTAATATACTTTTTTCAGTTTCTATGAATTATTAATTTATGATTTTCTTGGGACCGAAAATTATAAAGGGATCTCTCGAAAAATTATTATCTTATTATTTTATCGAGTTTTTCAATTTTTTACATTGGCCCAAATCGGGACCGGACAAATTTATTATTTTAGAGAGTTTATTAATTTACCGAGTATTAATTTAAAGAATTTCTACTGTACATGAATTGCATGAATCATGCTTAATGAATGGTTACTTTTGGCACCTTAGACACTCTCACTTAAGCAATACATGAATGAATTACACATTTTTTAAGCACACAAAACATAAACAATTCTTTTAAGTACATAACATAAATATGTGTCACAATAAAACATAAACAATTCTTTAAGCACATAAACATGAGTTAACTGATATTTAGAAATGGATTTATCACATTTGCAAAATTCTAATACATTAAGTTAATTAATATTTTAACACCCCTTTTGCTTAAAGTCACTTGTCTAATAAGTGACATCAGAGTATGTGGTATTTAGATCGAATTCTAATGTCGATAAAGGTAACTCTATAGTTTGATTAATGTTGTGCAAACTAAAGTCGAAGTTTGTTCAAGTATACTGTCAAAATATGTTAACTTTATGTTTAAGTTGTCATGTCGAATTGGATCTTTCTTGTAAGTCCAATTGTTAAATTACCTTGTAGTTTAAGTTAGCTTAGTAGTCTATAAATAGACTAGTTCTCTCAGGTTGTTGAGAGAGGTTAATTGTTGGTATTCACTTGTAATATTTGAACCATATTGAGAAAGTGAATAGAAAAACAGATTTAACCAATTCTCTATTTTTATTCTTCCTTCATCTCTCCCTTTTGTAAAATCTAATAGGGTTTTTTGTTTTTGTTCAAGAAACTCAATCTTTATCTCATAGCTTTGTTTTGTTACTGATGACATCGTTTCACAACAGAGTCTAATTCGTGTTAAAGATTAATCTTTTTAGGAGGAAAAATATCTTCAAGCTATTCACTAAACAACCCTTATCCTTTAATGGAGAAGAGTACAGTTTGTGGAGCGAGAAAATAAAAGTTACCATAGAAGGGATGGATCGTGGTATATGAAAGGCTGTGAAAGAAAGTCTTTTTTTCTACACATGATGTCAATGGTGTTGTAGTAAACAAACTGGAAGCTTACATGACCAAAAATGATAAAGAAACTGTATAGTGCGGTTTGAAAGTAAAAACCGCCATCACCATCGCTCTTGGTCTTGATAAATTTTTGCGCATTTTTCACTGTGAAACTGCAAAAGAAATGATATCCTTCAAATTACTAAGGAATAACCTATTGAGGTAAATAGGGCAAGGTCGGGCATATTAACTCATGAGTATGAACTCTTTAGAATGACACCTGAAGAGATCATTAATCAAATGCATATACAGTTTACCCATACCGTGAGTCATATGAGAACTCTAGGAAAAACATTTTCAAATGATGTACTAGTTATAAAAATTCTTAGATGCCTAAATTGTAGTTGGAAATCCAAAGTCACTGCGATTTTTGAATCTAAGGATTTAGTGACAATGGACACTCACACTCTCTTTGTTAAATTGTAGGAACGCATAATGAAACTCAAGGCTTGTAATAGATGAAGAAGAGGAAAAGAAAAACAAAATTTTAGCACTCAAAGTTGAGGAATCCAACTCTGATGGTGACATGTCCCTTATAGTAAACAACTTTAAAAGATTCCTAAAGAATGAGAAAAAGCAAAAAGAAGAACATGAAAAAAGGAAGAAGAAACACCATCCATTTCAAAATGTAACCGTTGTGGAAAGAAAGGGCACATTAGGCCATATTAACCTCTAATCAAGAAATCAAATCAAAAGATTAGGAAACCTTGAAAAAAGGAAAGAAATCGTACATGGCATGGAAAGATAACAAATGATATGGATTCCTCAAAAGATGAAGAAGAAGGAGCCAAGAATTGTTTTATGACAAATCATCAAGATAATGAGATAACCTCTTACTTCTCCTATCATGATCTTGTTAAGTCTACCAACAACTAATAATAAAACAAGTTCCACACTCGAATAGTATTAGGGTGAAAGAATCCTAAAGAAATATCTATTCGACTATGATATGCCTTAAAGGTAAAATAAAGCTTTCAATAAAAGAGAAGAGAATTTGTTCGGAGAAGGGAAGTTAGATTGAGGACGAAGAGAAAAGAATTGCATAGGAAGGAGAAAAATAAAGTAAGGAGAAAAGGTGTAAAGACAATAAAAGACTTTGTAAAGTTTAAAGTAAAACAAGTAAATTGCATTAAGTTAAAAGATGGTGTGTTTACATCACGTACATTCTCTACAATACTCGCTTTCTCTACACTCGGATACTTGGAGTAATTTTAAGAGTAATTTGTACAATAGTAAATTACAACACACTTTGGATATGTCTAAGACACCCTATTTATAGTAATAAAAAAATAACCTCAAATAACCTCCATCATCACCTCCTTTCGCCATTTGTCACAAATGCATGGATCTACTGCTCATAAGGTGACACGTGTCTCCCTCAATATTCAACAAGCAAAACCGTTCCCTCCAATATTTGAATTTCAAATCCTTCGACAAACCATCCCTCACAACAAGCGGTCGAACTCCTGGCTTCTGGGTAAGTTCTTCGACTTCTTCTTTTGGCTGCTTTTCCCCTTTCGACCACTCTCTCGCTCTCAACCTACCTTTGACCTTTTTATCTTGAATTCCTTCCTTCTACATGAGGTGTCGAATTTAGGAGCTAACAAATTGCCCCCCAAAAATGTCTTTTTGACTTCGACTATGGAAAAGCACATTTTTTGACAGCGTCTGACCTTCGACGCCGCTTGTCCTCATGCGTGTCGTCTGATATTCTTTCCACCAATGTAAGTCTGGGAAGGTGAAAGGGAATGAAAGAGAAGCAAGAAAGATAACTAGGAACACGCAAGCTACTGTTCTGCCACCTTAATGTATGTTTCTGACGTCACTTTCATCATGGCTATTTTCTCGGGAATCAACAAAATCGTGGGCCATCATCACCCTTCCAACCTCGGGGACGTGAATTGTAACTACTTCCTCTGCCATCCCACATCCAAGCGCACACGTGGCCCACTAACTCTAGCCCCTTAATGATGAAAACTTTCAGTCTTCCATATACTATATAAGTAATTTCCCTTTGCTATTTTCATTTTTCCAACTTCTCTAACTCTTCACACCATCCTTGCTTTTTTCCTCTAAATTTTTCTGCTTCCCAACCAACAAACTCTTACTTCCTTCAAAATGGCTGATCATCAAAAGAAGAAATGCAACTCAAAGGACAAACTTCTGCATCAACGCTTCCTCCCTTTGCCAGCTTGAGCGGTCCCCAGGTGGTAAAGAACCAACAGTTCATCCGCGAACCCTTGACGGAGGAGAAACGCCACATTTACGAATCTCAGGTAATCATTCATGTTACTGTTGCAGGGAGACCTTTAGCCATGTCTGTGCCTTTACCCCCTCCAGGTCTTTACTATTCCGCCATTAAAGATTTCTTCCCCTCTTATAGAACCACTAAACCCTTAGGGCAAAAAGACTCTAGCAAAATCTCCACTGATGGCCCTGATAGCCTGAGCCTCTTTGACAGAGACCTTAGGTATCTTCATGATGGGGCCAGATTATTTAGGGCTACTCCCTACTTTAAAGATTATGAACTTTATCTCAACTGGCTGACAAAAATAGAGAAAGTAAAAGCCCAGGAATGGAAGGACACTGGGATTTATGATCTGATTATGATGTCGAAGGTAGGCTCTTCGTACTGCCCTCTTATGTTGGCTTCTTCCTTATTCTTCTGGGATAGAACTCACAATACTTTCCACCTTCCTTGTGGGATGATGACACCCACCTTACTTGATGTAGCTGCCATTGTAGGCCTAAAACCCTACGACCTTGTTTATGATCCTGAGATTGATAGCCACGACACCATTGGTTTCGCCACTACCAAACATACTTACACAACTTTTGTCCAACATTATCATAATAAAACTAGCACCTCAGTTGATGACGAGGAACATATAGCCTTTTTGGCCATGTGGTTATCTCGTTGTGTATTTTGCACAAAATCCTTGCAGGTGGCACGAAAGTATCTGGTTCTGGCCAACCAACTACATCTGAAGAGAGGCATTTGTCTAAGTGAAATGATTCTAGCCAATCTTTACGAGGCCCTAGGCGAAGGTGCGAATAAATTGAAAGATCCTGAAAGCCATGGCAACTTGCTGTTGTCAGGCCCCTTTTGGCTTCTTCAATTGTGGCTTAATGCCACTTTTGAACACACTCTTCCCAACAGAGGCGAAGTTGATGAAAGTTCGCCTTCAGTCTCTGAGAGAATAGTTGAATGGCCTCGCTTGGCTCAACCTACTCCTAGAGAGGAAGGAC